GTGTCTTAGGATTTGTCTATTTTCACTTCGCATGACTTGTTCTTGCTTCATGTGGGCTTGAGTTGTTTGTTCACTGCTCTCGGCAGCAGCTGGAGCTATCAGAACTGCTGCATGCGCAGCTCTTGTTGATTGGTGTCTACGGGCATCACACCGTGCTTGAATGCAAGCTACACTATGACTTGCTCAAAAGCGCCCCACAAGCCCATCCACGTAGGGTCACCATCCCGGCAACCGTAAACCCACTCGCTTGCGTTGTCCTTGCTTCAAGCCTCAGTCACTTTGATCATGCTGCCAGTTTCCACCTGGTAACATGCATTCGAATGCAAAATGTGCATCTATACATGTATGTGTGTGTGTCATTGCCAGCACCCATACTCTGCGAAAACGTGCTGTCGTTTCCTGATCGCTGTGTTGGAGTTGGACCATGAATCCAGAAATGTCGTATGCTATGTTCCTTTTTTTTGCCCATTCGCGTGTCGGAGTGTATGTGTGTGTGTGTGTGTGTGCATGCTTGCGAGCTGCTCTCGCAAAGGACGTGTGTCATGTCGCGAACAATTCGGACACCGCGTGCCCAGAACAGCGCATGGCTCAGCGCGAGCTAGTTCTGCAGGGCAAGCACGTGTGAACACTCCTTTTTCTCATCAAAGTTTGCTTGGCCAAGAAACTGTCTTATCGCGCAAACGCCAACCAACCAACAGGAGTGCAGAACGGCGGCAGCAACCTAATCAAGGGCAAACAGCAGAACTGGCTCTGGCTGGAAGGCACAAGCAGAACAGAAGCGCAAATCTGTGAAATGAATACATGAACACATCAAAAATTCATCGCAAACAATGGGCAATGGGCATTTTAAGATTTGCGGCATGCCTGCAGGACACGTCAGATCATGCAAGCTTACACGTGCTGAGAAAGTTCATGTGTCCAGGCTCGAGCAAGTCTACTTAGCAGGTATGCGTTGCGCTTGTTGATGAAAAACAGCGAGCAGTTGAGGATAACAACAATTGCTTTTTTCGGGTTTGGCTTACCGCCAAAGCTGCCACAAAACCAAATGTTAGTACAAGCAATCAGGGCAGGTTCAACACCTGCTGAATTTTAGATTCACTAGTTCGCAGCAATCGCATGCAATCGCCAAACAACTAACGTTTATGACCAACTCTGCAGGGGCCACGAACACATCAAAATTAACACGCAATTGTTCCTTCCAGCCACTCAAAATCACTTAAGAATCTGGGAAGCAATCAAGAAAACATCGATCAGGCAAATGCGTACGCTAACCTACTGATTAGACACCTCGTTAAAAGGCAAGCCAAGCCATGAGTACGATCTGCAAAGGACAAACATTATTCGCCACAGCATGGTATTAACTAAGCACCCCGGATTCCAGAAGCTAAACCTCACATAAATTGCAGTACATGGCGTGCATGATTTGAGAGATATTCTCTAAAACATGCTAGGGATAGCTTCGGCTGTGTGTGTTTCATGTGCCCTCCCATTGACTTCCAGTAACATGGCTTTACGTTCCAGCGAGGCAAACATCAGCTAGCTTTCCACAATGTGTTACATTCCAGTAGATTCCAGCAGGGTTCTATACGAAAATCAACTGTGTTGCGTCTCCAAAGCGCCGATGCAATACATTTGGGGCCGGCAAAATGCACCACTTATTTCTTCCTTGCTTCTGAGCTTATGGTGTTCCAAGTGCCTTTTCAAGCACATGTTGAACAATAGAACATCTTGTTCACCCGGGTTCAAGAGCTTGAGCTTCGTTTCAAGGAGCCGCGCAGCCGAATTTTGGCCAACAGCATATCGCTTACATACGTTTGGCCACAACACGCCACAGCCAGATCGGGCCTCACAGGATGTCTCGCGTTTATTCCCAAGGCGTCTCCGCAGCCAAATTTGGACCAACTGGATGTGTCGTTTTTTTTTCCACCGGCCTCCAAGTACATGGTTTTGTCCCCAAGGCGCCTTCGCATCTTGGTGGCAAACACGAGCAAAATCTGAGCCGCGGCCAATGGCCCCAAAAATGTCGCAGTTTTTAAAAACCACTGTGTGAATTCAACGTGTTCAAGCCCATCAATGACTTTTAAGGGCTTGTCGCGTGGGCAGGAAAATCACAGCTGAGCTTTTACAAGTGGAAATTATGCAGCGGTTTTAAAAAACCGAGACATTTTTCGGGCCACGGGCCGCTGCTCAGAATTTACGCAGTTTTGCCATCAACTGCGAAGGCGCTTTGATCACAAAATCCAGGAACTCGGAAGCTGCCGGGGCAAACAAACAACATCATACATCCTACATCCGGTTGGCCCCAATTTGGTTGCGGAGACATCTTGGGAAAAAGAAAGCGAGACATCCTTTTGGCCTATGGCCAAGCCAAGCCCGCGACCACGTACTCGGAAGCTTGTGGAAACATACAACGATATTTCTTCTGTTGGCCGAAAGTTGGCCGCGGAGGCGCCTTGAGTCATGCCATTGGTCAATGTATGTGTCATTGCATCATAGGCTCCTTGCTAAAGGAAATTGATGTACTTGGAAGCCGGCAGCAAAATGACATGCTTGGCTACGTTGACGCTGTGCTATGCTTCTTTGATGCCTGCAGCGGGTGCCAAATACTGGGTAATATTTGTCGTCACTTTGAACAAACCCATATACTTGACTTGGCGATTATGGGAGGTATGCACTCAAAGACTGAACAACAGCAAATGTTTTTCACAAAGGTGTCTACAATCCACGGAACAACACACGCAGAATCAACACAACATTTGGAGAAACAACATTATATGCACCACAATTCAACATATGCGAGAGAACACTCCTGCAATGTGTGCTAAATTTTCGTGCATGCGTGTTAGTTGTTGCTTTCCTTATTGTACAAAGAGTGGATGTACATGGACGCACGCACGTGCTTGACTCATTACAGCTTAGGTTTAGCCGTGTTTTGCAACGCCTCTAGAGACAGCGAATGGAGTCAGGGAATAATCGTTGCTTGCTTTGGTCGCGATACAGATTTACGGCTCGCTTGTTGTCAAGCATAGCTCCATTGCTGTTGTCCCATCTTTACTCGGATTTCAATGGTGCGTCCTGTCAAGAGCTGCGAGACCCGTATCGTGCCGGCGTTTATTCGCGCATTATCACGCATTGCTGGAGACTCCGGACCCGTTCAAAACTCAGTTCAGTGTTGTTTGCTATCATGGAACTCAATTCTGATTCTGCAAAGAAGACGTTCAGAACCTGGACGCGTAAGTTCCTCAGTGTCTCCGCAAAGGACCCACAAACAATTTGCGTTGTATGTAAGATTGTGGTTTGGCCATTTGTCCTGCAGGCCTGCTACTGGCAGCGCTCAACCTTAAAGAGCTTGTTGCTTACTGTGTGCCAATGGCTTTGAGTGTGTGTGTGTGTGCCTTGGCTCATTTCACACATTTGCCCTCCTGTTCTGCCTGTGCCATTCAGCCGAAGCTGGCTGTGTCTTGGGGTTGCTGCTGATCGTTCTGCGCCCGTGTCTTCTGGTTGGCATTAGCGCGTGTACATTGCCCATTGCCCACATTTCCAGTTTGGCCTGCGCTTCTTTTTGGCAATCGAGTTTCACTTGGCAACAACTGTTCATACGCGCTTGCCCCATAGAATGTATTTGTACTGATTCACGTGCTGTTTGGAACATATACTGTACTCACTGAAAGCCGGTGCGCGCATGCTGCACAAGCAAGCGTGCTGCGCAGACACGTTGATACGCAAAAGGTCTGGCAAAAGGGCAGGTTTGCTCTATCACCAACGGGAGCCAAAAACACAGACACGAATGCAAAGACGGAAAAGACGTAGGCGCACGGCAGGCATACACAAACAATTTTCAACAAATGATTACACATCTATTTATTCATATATGTATCATATTTATATACAGATATTAATTCATTGACACTGCAACCTGCTTCAACATAATCAACTGCGCAAAGTGCGAGATCACAGCACGAAAGCAGCAAGACGTGATGAGGGCATGGATGCACAACTGCTTGAACGAATGCGGGGCTTTCCTGATTGCATTGCAGTCTCTGTTTGGGCATGTGCTCCTTCCGCAGCAATAGGCGCACAAGGCAATAAGTATCACGCATTTCCGGATAGTTACTGTGCTCAATGACAAGCCGGCAGGAGCTCACACTCCTTTTCTATGGGCATGTAAACTACGTGTTTGGCAATACAGCCATACGATGTTAGGCAGCAAGAGCAACGGAACTACAGAAGTGCTATGGTTTCCAGCTACTTCAGGCGTAGCAAAGTCAAGAAGCAACGTATAAGCATTAAAGGCTTCTAAGCATGCAACAACCAAGTGCCAGAGGGCCGTATTTGAAGCTTGCGTGATAAGTTCCGATTTGTTTTGGGTAAAGTTCCGGTTGGACCGGCTTGAGCTTAATCCCGGAAATGTGATTCGCCTCCCGTTTCCTGAATCCCGAATGTCGAAACTGTGATTCGCGTCACGAATCCCAAATCCCAGATCCCGAATACCGAAAATGTGATTCGCGTCCCGAATCCCGAATCCCGAATACCAAAAATGTGATTCGCATCCTGAATCTCGAATCCCGAAAATGTGATTCGCGTCCCGAATCCCGAAAATGTGATTCGCGTCCCGAATCCCGAATCCGGCAAATGTGATTCGCGTCCCGAATCCCGAATCCCGAATCCCGAAAATGTGATTCGCGTTTGGAATCTCCAATCTCGAATCCCGAAAATGTGATTCGCGCCCCACATGCCCAATCTCGAATCCCGAAAGTGTGATTCGCATCCCGACTCTCAAATCTCGAATGTGATTTGCATCCCGAATCCCGAATCTCGAAAATGTGATTCGCGTCCCGAATCCCGAATCCCGAAAATGTGATGTATTCCTGAAATGTGATTAACTCCGGAATCACGAAATTGGCAGCGACCTCCGGATCGCCACTCCACAAATTGCTCAAAATTGGGGACCCCTCCTGGTGGTTTCCTCCCCATTTTAAGACATTAAATGCAAGTCCAGCCTCCCTCTGCTTTTCTGCCATGAACTGCTGCCACACAGAAAGCTTCTCTTCCTCGAAGGCTTGCCGTCCGCGCCTGCGCAAAGTGCATGGCGTTGATGCAAGTTGTTGGTATATTAACCCCGGTTCATTGATAGGGCGGGGGCCCCTCCAAAAGTGGTCTGATTCCCTACTGAACCCACCTATGAATCAACTGGGGTTGACGAGTATGGGGTGGGTCCACACGGTTGACTTCTTCTTCATGCGCCTTTGCGCGAACCTATGAGGAACCAGGCCTGATGTCACTGCGGTGCTGCTTCAGCTCCAGCTCGGCCTTTTTCAGCCAACCGACGAAGCTGCGGCGCAGATCGCTGACCTCTGCGTGAGTCACTGGAGTCACTTCCAGCCAGAAAAGGCGTTTCGAGGGCAACGCCCCTATCATATTGACTGGTGAAACAGCGTTGCAGGCCGTGGGGCCATCTCGTCAAAATCAGGATCCGGCTCCTCCTCTGGAGAACTCATGCCTGCCATGCTGTGCATCGGCTGTGCATCGGCTTTGGGGCTGGCCAACGGACAGAAGGTGGCCTCCCGGCAGCTGATCCCATGAGCCAAAAGGCGAGGTCGCCTGCCGGAACGAAGCAGTGCTTTGCTTGCAAGTGAAGGAATCACTCCTCAGAATTCCCGTTTTGGTGTGGTGAATCCCTAGGTTTCGCAAAGAAACACTTGAATCGATTCCCTGAGCACGACGTCAAGCTCCCCCCCCGACGGCGCGCCGGGCTAGCGAACAGTCGCGACTGTGGTGAGGCAGCCAGCGGCGCCGTGGCAGCGACACCGGCAGGCCGAGAAGGTGCCTCCGTGCAAATAAATGGCTCAAAAAATGATGCAAATGGCAACTTGCCAAATGGAAACGGAGCTGCCAAGGCGCACTGCATGTACCAAGCTTGCGCTGACATTGCATTTTTGCGCGGCCCAAATATGTCTAGCCGCGATGTCGCGAGGTGCGTGGGCAGGTGTCTACCCAAGTGGCCCTCGCATAGACATTTTGCGGGAGTGGTCTCTATTTTTTTTGCTTCGGTGGCGCAGGAATAACCCAAGTGCCCTTTGGCAGCTCCAGCTCGAACATCGCAATTTACCAGTACAAGTGGAGTAAAGGCACACCTTGGCTTGCAGGTCGTAGCTTTTGGTACGCTGCTCGAAATGCACTTTGGCAGCTCCAGCTCAGGCAGGAGGGACTACAAAAGGACGGGCCCGGAAGGCTCCTTGGATCTTAGACATTGTGCGCGATGTGCGAAGCCCACATGAAATCTGCCAACGGCGTTTGTTGGACACGCAGGGCTTCGCAAGCGCTTCACATCATTTACCCCTTCATAAGGCACACGTAACGTGTCAACCTACCAAACCGTCGCCTATGCGACTGCCTGTGCGAGGCTTCGCAACTTGAGCCTGTGCGAGATGTCTACGTGGTTTTGGCCCTGTCAGTCAATTGCCTGCGCAACATGTAAACAAAGTTGCCACCACGATGTGGACCTTCATCTGCTTTCTGTCGCCCGCCTGGGGCACATAGCCGTTTCCCAACTGGCCATAAGTGGCTGCCATGGGGCGCACTCTTTGATGCGCCCGTCTAATTTGGGCTCTGCGTTGCTCTGTGAGCCAAAATGCATGTGCAGTTTGCTTCTGCCAGGCCCTAGAAAATCCAACATGGGCGTATCTTTGTTTAGCGGGGCCAAACTTGTTCTTTTCCCCTTGAGGAACTTCTGACGCTCTGCAGCTTTGGCGTGACGTTGAATCGTCGCTCAGGCCGCCGCGTGCGCAAATTGCTTGCGAGCGCAACCCAGCAGCACGTCCAAACAAGCAACCCGAAGCGGTTCTGGCAGAGACAAAATGCCAGCCCTGTTGTTTGACAATGATTGAAGACCCCCCCAAAGTGATGGGTTAAAGCCCCGTAAACAGTCAACATTCATATAATGGTGTTCGGCGTGCTCCAGCTGCAAGGCGCACCTCAGCCTGGACATGCGGCTTGGGACTTGGCTGGAAGTCTGCAACGGAGACGGGCTCGAAGCTGGGCGCATGAGTCATGTGCTCCTCATGGCCAAGACAGGTTGCACATTTCCTTCTCAGATTGCGCCTGTCGCTGTCCGACCTGTGCGCAGCCAAGGGATCTCAATGGTTTGATGAGCTTCTCGCAAGGTCACAAGCATGCTCGCGCTTTTTCAGACGCAGCGCCGCTCTTTCATGGAAGTTCTGCCCAGCGTCAAGGTCTCTTCGGCGGTGGCGGGCAAGGTGGCCAGTGCTCCGGCGGCAGAAGCGGTTTGCTCTTGGACGGCTTGGGGCCGGGTGGCCGTGGGGGCTGTGCTGCTGGAGCAGGCGGTGCCTGGGGCGGTGCCTGCGGAGCTCGGGGCGGTGCCTGAGGTGGTGCCTGACATCTGCGCAGCTCAAAAAAACCACAAATCAACGAAAAGCACGCGGGAATCGCAACAGGAAAACCAACACGAAAATTCCGCAGCAGCCACCCTGAATCCCCATGCGCCTGCGGCGCCTGCGGCGTTTGTGTCTGCGGTGTCGGCGCTGGCCTCAAGCTCGACTTGTCCGGCTCCACGGAAAACTCGTCCTCGCCTTCGTCGGGGCCCTGCATGTAGTACTTCTCGTCATCAGGGTCCAGCCACTCCGTCGGCTCCTCCTTCAGCTTGGCGCGCATGTAATCCTCCCGGTCCTTGGCAGATCTCAGCTGCCGCCAGTCGAAATACGGCACATGCAGCACCTTATAGCCCATCCGCGTCAAAAGCCGGTGCTTCAACTTGGTGTAGGCGGTGTACCGCTTGGAATTCGCATAGAAGTGGGAAGGCCCATCCACTTCGATGGCGATGGGGCGGTCCTCTCCGGTCGGAATGTTGCCGTGCTCATCTGCCAGAGGGCCGCTCAATCGCTTGGTCAGGTCCTTGATGATGTTGTCCTTCTCCACCTTCTCCTCCTGACATGGGAGCCCTTTTCTTTCTTTCTTGTTTTAAACAAAACTACTTTTGTTGGTTGTATGCGCCAAATCACATCTCCTGATTACCTCCTTATTCCACCCCCCCAATCCCGAACTCCTCGGTGAGGATCTCCTCCCCGCCGTCCAGCAGCCGCTGGCGATGCACCTTCTCCGCAAAGCCCCGCGCGGGCGCGGCCGGAGCCACGGGCGCGGGCACCCGCCGGCCGAGCGCGACCGCGGGGGCCGCGTGGCTGGGCGGGAGCCGGAGGTGAAAACCCACACGCCGCAACATGCGAAAAAGGGCGGCAGGGAGAGAGATGTCAAAGCTTGTTTTGTTTTGCGATTGGGATGGATGTGGATGGATTTGAGGTTGAGCTTAATCATGTGAAGCAAAGCTGACAGAGCCAAACTCGAAGGCGAAGAACATGTCGAGGCACATGTTCCTTGCTTAAAACCCTGCTCTCTGGCCCTGTGCACTCGGCTACAGTGTTCCGAGCTTCAAGGTGGGTGTTTTTTTGGCGGCCATCCCTCAAATTTCATGTGCCTTGCCGGATGGAACACTTTGGTTATCAAAGCAATTGGAACTCCTTCTTGCAGCCCTCGCGCCTGCATCACCTTGTCAGTGACGAAGTCATCGAAATCAGATGACCTGTTCTTGACAAAACGGTCCGGATCCTGTTCGGCTTTCCGACTGACACATGTTTAGTGGTGTCTTAAGAGACCTTTTCAGGGCATGCGCTGCCCATTCTTCACTGCAAAGCTCAAAATAGATCAAGCGAACCCTCAAGCCATGGGTTCTGACTGCAGGCAGCACCCGACAAATGTCCAGAGCACTGAGCACCTTCAAGGAAGGAACATGAAGCAGCTGCGTAGGCTGCGTCGGGCATGCCTCAGCATCCGCACCGCGAACAACTTCGTCAGAGAACGCTCGAGTTTCTGAGGCTTTAAAAAGCCGAGATCTTGAAAACAGGGAAGGAGGCAGCTTGATGCCAGTGGCTCGCAAGTCAATCCGCCTCCTGCGGCCGGCAAATAGAACATGACCGGGGCCCAGAATAGGCGTTCCTTTTTCTGGGGGCGCCCCCTGCAGGATAGAAAGGGAAGGAACATGTGTTCTGTTGGTTGTCCTACCAAAAACGGGTAGCCTCAAAAGAACACGAGGAGCCCAGGAACGCCACGCAGCATGGACGTGCCGAGCTCGCGCCAGCCTATTTTCTTTCACCCGCACAGGCGGATTGCTTTCCGGATGGCATCCTCACCAATGTCTTTGATGGTGGCGCCATTCCGCCTGCGAACTCTCAGTTTGAGGGCATGTCTGCTCAAGCCTCTCAATGAGCACGAGCCTTTTGTATCTTGGCCCTGCCGGATGTCACAAGCAAGCAAAGCAAGAAAAGCAAGCAAGCAAGCAAGCAAGCAACCAACTGACCAACCAACCAAGTAAGCACTCAAGTAACCAACCACCCAACCAAGCCAACAAACCAATGAAATCCGCCGACATTGCTCGGCGTGTTGGACGCCCAGCGAGGATAAAGGACCCCCCCCCCGCCCGAGGTTGTAAATAGGGGACCCCAAGTGGCCGCGGAGTGAACACCTCGTAGGTCCCTGGTGGATCTCCGATGCAGAATGAATATATATATATATATAAAATAACCAAATATGTATGCAAACAGCCTTTGGTTCCCAGTAGGAACAACGTGTCTCAATACGGGTTGCATCCTGGGTGGAATACTCTGAATCAAGCACACAACAAGAGAGAAACAAACACAAATTTCTTTCCGCTCATGGCATCACTAATTCATATGAGAATACTGCCATAGAGTGATTTTATCCCTCGGCTCAATAAGCCTAGAATATGCGGAATAGTGCAGTGTTAGCACGTTGGGATCTATACCGTAGCATAGAAATGCCATATGGAAATGGTCATTCATACTCATGTCATCAGGATGACATCACTTCACCGTTTGAAGATTGGTTCCCTACTCTGTATCCACGTTCCTTCTCTCTTTCGCGTTTCACCGCGTCTCAGATACGTTGCTGCTCTCATGGAGAACATCCAGGTTTACGAGGAGAGGTGCCAGTTTGAATCTCTTTCACCAGGCATAAGTTGCTCATTGGTGAGGAGTTTGCCTTGTAGTCAGGAAATATGTTTCCAGCGATTGATTTTCATCTGGTATGTGTCCGTCATCGGTGTATTTTTGTCGAAGACCTCGCACGAGGCTGGTCTTGGCCCAGTGGAAAAAAAATAGGTTACCAAGCAGTCAAGGACGCCGTAGAATGCGTGCGTCATGCTCGAGGCCAGTTTTAGGACCGTGTTTGCACGAAGCTTCCAATTTGGACATCTTTGAAGCTGCAACTTCGACTCGAAGATGTTTCGTTGGATCTGAAGCCTTGCGCGGTTCCTTCCATGGACACAGTAAAGGCGGATATCTGCGGACGCTGCGCCAACTGGTTCTTGCTTAGCTGGTTGCATGCTGAGTTCGCGTCGCCGGTGATGACATCGACCGCGTGCTTCACAGTCCACGGTTTACGAATCGTATGATGTCGTTGCGTTCATACTGGTGTACTCCTACCGTTAGGAACCGCACGGCGCGCGCATGAGTCCTGTTGTATTCACCCTTCGTCTGCATCGTGAGGATTGCATTGACAATGTTTTGCGCAAGTCCACCATCGACGTACAAGATTCTTCCGCCCTGTAATGATGTTGCTTCCTTGCTGCCACGGCTTCGTAGGAAGGTTCATTCCGGATCATTTCCAGATGTGCGGACGATGACGTCGTTGAAGATTCCACCGACGGTGATGTTCTCCCGAGTATATGGGTTGCAGACATGTCCGGGTTATTGCCGAATTAATCCAGAAGAACAGACTCCTCAACGTTGCCCTTCTTGTTGTTACCTGGGTAGATCGGCGGTCACTAAAGGTTTCCGAGATTCAGTGTGAGGATTTTGAGTCTTGAGGCGCATCTGTCTCCATCATCGGTTCTTGTTCTTTTCGACTTTGTGGACTGTAGTACATGTTGAAGAACATCCAGGTAGCCTTCTGTTTCTTCGGGGGGTGGCCCATTTGCGGTGGATTCTTCCTTGTCAGGGATCAACGATGTTAGTTCTGTGGCGGTAGCGGGCTCGGGGTGGCTAATTTGCAACGGATTTTGCGTTTTTGAAATGAACAACCCTTCTTCCGGCCATCCTCCAGTCATGTGTTTTAGCCGTTGGACTCCAGCGAAGTTGGTGATGCTGGTGATTGTGTCTTGCGGCGGATCCAAGCGATCCACACGTTCCTTTGCCAGCGATGCAGGTGATGCTGGTGATGTTGGTTGTGATGCGGCGGTGCATCGAAGCACCTTCGAGGGCGCCAGCCGTCTCTGGAAGCTACAGGCTCCCTAGCTTGATGTCTGTGTAACTAAATATATCTATGCACACACACAAATATAAACGCATTCTTGCGTTCAAATAGATATATATATATACTCGCCTTTCTTAGATTGATTGTTGGGCACGGGGATGTGGAGCAGCGAAAACAGCTCAAGAATAAGGCTCGGGGCAGTGAATGGAATTGAATCCAGAATTGAACATGATCCAGTACATCATGCCATGCAAAAGGAAGGCTTAGAATTGAACAGAATCTGGACCTACCAATCCGATGCAATGGGAATAGTCATGTCGAGCCTCACCTATCGCTGCCTCGGACCCTGCAGCCGGTCTCTTTGGCGCATCAGAAAGTGCGCTATGACATCTGGGTTGGGCGCACTTTCTCCCCCACTCAGCCGCAGACCGCGCATCCTTGACGGCGGAACACGTTCTTGTCCCAGAAATGCAAGTACGCCAGCCCTCACTTCCCGGCCAAAGTGCCTTGTACTCACAGAACAACTTGGAAAGGGAAACAATGACGCATTTCCCTCATTTTGACCTCACCTCTCTTGCGGCGCCTCTTGGTCTCAACCTTGGTTGGGCTGGCGCCTGTGGGAACGTACACTTCGTGCTCTGCCCCGTTCTCATTCACAAAAACCAGGTTCTTGCCAAGGCGCAGGCAGTGCGTCGTTTGGAGACGGTTTCACGTCTGTACCGTATACAGCCATGCAATCTTGGCAGGGCGCGGGCGTGCAAGCCACCAGTAGACTCTTTGGTCCCCTATGCAAACTGCACAGTTCTGGCCTGCAGATTATTGATCCTCCGATCGTGCGTGGCAACACTAGCCAGCATCTGCGGAAGAGTCAAGGATGGGGCACGTTCGCCATTTCAGTTAGCATTGCGCCATGCGCAACATTATAACCAAACAAACCCTTGCCTGCAGCGGGCAAGAGACCTGGGTGGCAACACTCAGATTCCGACAGATGCGTCCGGTGCATATCCGCAGCCCTTTCGCCACAAACGGTCGGCCGCTTGCCTCCAAACCCAAAGGGCCGACGTTTTCTTTCCAGCGCTTTTGGGAATTTGTATCCGTTCCATTTTCCAGTCAGCTTTAGAGTGGTTTAAGGTGGGTCTAGGGCACATAGGGTTTGGGGGGGCGGTTTAGGGTGGGTTGGAGCGGGTTTGGTTGGGGTGAAATGGGGCAGGGTCAGATGGAGCTTGGGTTGGTGCAAGGTTGGTTCAGTTGAGGATTAAGGTGGGTTTCAGGTGGGTGTAGTGTGGTTCTGGTAGTTTAGGGTCGGGTCAGTGTTGGGTTACAGGTGGGGGGGGGGCGTGCGGATGGGTAGGTTTAGAGTTGGCTTAACGGGTTGAGGAGGGTAGGTGGTTTTGATTTTAAAGTATACCGGGTGGTTCACAGGGTGCTTCATTGCTTGCCTTGCTTCATTGCTGCCTTGAACAAGGCCCAACACCGTGGACGGTTTCGCCCGGAGTTCATCTGATGAGGGTTCAACGTTTTCGAGAAATCGGTGAACTCTAGCGCATCCACGCTCTTGACAGTCCAGCTGCCGTCCTTTGTCACCCACGGCCGCTGGGCCCCGGACAGGAAGTTCTCCCGGTAGGAGACAGAGCGAATCCGGCCGCCTGCTCGGCCAATGTCAGCGGCGGATTTCGAGCCGTAGCTGGAAATCTGCTGACGCCGGCGCGGCCGCTTGCATGACCGTGCGTGCCGCGCGTGGGCCCAGGCGAAGCACTCCAAATCCGGAGCGATCGCAGAACACCTGCAGCCCGAAGTCATCCGAGTAGGTTCTGGAGCGCCTCTGCTGGGCAATGCGTTCGTCGAACCTCTCCCAACTCATCTCCACAGTTTCCGTGAAGTCTTGTGGGTTGGCTTCCATGTAATTGACAACCTGCAAGCTGGGGCACCTTTTCAGACCCACCCCTACAATCAAGGAGTGAGAAAAAGGAAGCTCAACCCAGGTGACCGCCGCCCTCAGGGGACGGGATGTCCCACTCTTTGTTTGTGCAAATAAGCCACCGACCGCCGCAGCCAACATCACCAGCATCCCCGGCATCGCCGACATCGCTGCCTTTCAAGGGCGAAGACACATGATGGGAGGATGCCCGCAAAGAGGGTGGTTCATTCAGATCCGCGGCAAGGACAACATTTTCCGCAAATGAGCCACTCCTGCCCTCGCAGATTCATCGAGCTCAGAGGACTCATCGGGGAAAGGTGGCTAAGTGGCTGGATGTTGTTGTAAGCGATATACATGGGATTGAAAGAAGGTGTTGGAAAAACCAATGCGTTCTCTTCTTAAAAGATCATTTGCTTGCTGCAACATCTCTAGCTGCCTCAGCTGTTCACGTGTTGCTTGCAGTAGCATGAGCGCCTATTTGGCAAGCTCCGCTTTGCAAAGTTAAGCTTTTGAAAGGAGTTTGACCTCAAGGGGAAGGGTCATTTGAAGCAAGGAAGTGGGAACATGAAGGAACAACAATCAATCAGCCCTCGTCCTGCAGACCGGTCAGGTCACACAGCAACTGGGACATCTTCTCAGAGCTTTCCACAAAGTAGCTGGCAAGCGCCAACTGTCTCTGGTGAAGGAAGAAATGCTCCACGCACACTTCAACCCTTACGCGTGCGTCTTGGCAGTCAGTGCCTTTTGCAGCGCTCGGCGGAGATCCGTCGTTCCAACACCGCGTGGCCAACTTTCGCCGAGCTGTCTCCACCTTGTTTTCGACCGCTTTGCTGCCGGTGTCTTCGACTGACCCTTTCTCTAGGCGCCCCCGGCTGTCAATAATATGACCCTTTTCCGCAAGTAAGCCTTCTTGCGAAAACGTTCAAGTTAAAAATTGCCGCATTTCTCGGAAATAACGAGGAAAGAAGGAAATGCAAGGGACGTGCAGGGAACAGGAAATGATAGGAAACCAAGGGCAAATGAAACGGGAACGAAGGGGCCGGAAATGAAGTGCAGGGGGGGAGGGGTTGACGGGGGAAATGAAGGGAAACAAATTGACAGACAGTGACGAGGAAATCAAAGGACGCGAAGGGAGATGTAGGGAGATGACTGGCAATGAAGAGAGAGAGAAAGAGAGAGAGAGAGAGACAGAGAGAGAGAGAGAGAGAGAGACAGAGAGAGAGAGAGAGAGAGAGAGAGAGAGAAAGAGAGGCAGAGACAAAGAAAGAGAGGGAGAGAGAGACAGAGACACAGACAGAGAGACAGAGAGAGAGAGAGAGAGAGCGAGAAAGAGAGACAGGGAGACAAAGAGAGAGAGAGAGAGAGAGACAAAAACAGAGAGACAACGAGAGAGAGGGAGAGAGAGAGAGGCAAAGAGAGGAGAGAGAGAGAGAGAGGGAGACTGAGAGGGAGGGAGAGAGAGAGAGAGAGAGAGAGAGAGTGAGGAGAGAGAGAGAGAGAGAGTGTGAGTCAGAGAGAGAGAGGGGGGCAGAGAGAGCGAGAGGGGGGGACCAACCAACTAACCAAACAATCAAGTAACCAACTCACCAGCCAACCAATCAAGAAAGCAACCAACCAAGTAACCAACGAACCAACCAACCAACCAACCAACCAATCAACCAACCAAACCAAGCAACGAAGTCAGCAACCAAGTAACCAACCAACAAATGAAGTAACCAGCCAACCAGGACTTTACCCTTGTCTTAGCGCCAAAGCTGATTCTTCGTTCATGTTCGTTTGCCGTTCGCCTGCGGATGTCCGTGCCATTCGCCTCCTCCAGATCTCGGGTTCGAAGCCTAATTCTGCGAGGGTTTCGTGCGCGCATTTTACATAAGTGCCTGAAATCCTGGTCAAATGGCGTCTTGTTATCCGGGGCGCTCCAGAAAAGCCCGGCAAAAGAGGAACAACTCTTCAACATGTCAACTCTGGCATGGCTACCCGGCTGGCAAAAGACCAAGGCGCAGGTGCAGAACCGGCCGCGGGGCAGTGGAGACTAGGCATTCGCCGGGATCTGTGGGAGGTAGCTCAATGAATGTCTCCTGGCGTGACATGACCTTTTGTCCTTTGGTTTGGTCCAAACATAATCCCCCCCCCCTTCGTTGCGAAAACAACCGCAGCGTTTTTTTGGGGAGGCACACCCCCATGCCAGGAAACTTCAAAAAGATCAACCAGAAGTGAAGATTGAATCCTCTTTTGATGCTTCAGCCGGGCATCCAAACCGCCGTTCCAACCGCTTTGCCCGTCCGTCCTCGCCGGAGGCCAGGCCAACTTTCGCCAAGATCTGGCCTCTGGCGCTGAAGCCGGCGTTGGTGTCCAGCACGGTGGCCACCTGGCCAGCCACCTCCACGCTCTCGCCGAGCTCCAGCATCCCTCGAAGCTGACGACCAAAAGCCCGAGTTGGGACGGCGGACGGAGATGTCTCAGATTTTTGTCCATGTCATGATGCGAGAAAAAGCACCCTGAAATTTGGGCACGTGGCCTTGCACAGCCCTCACTGAGGCCGGGTCTCCCATAGTTCGGGTGGAAGGCCACTATGTACAGGTCTTGCTTGGCGAAATGGTACCCGTTAGACAGCTGGGTCTGGAAGAAGTGCTGGAAGGCATCGAAGGACTCCCACTGCTGCACGAAAGGGCACACCAGCAAGGTGGTCGCAGCTTCCCCAATCTCCAAGTCTTTCCTGGCTTGCCGTTCGCACTTGAATGGAACTCGTGCTTCTCACAAGGTTCGGACTCCTCGGTCATAAGAAAAGGAAAGGGAAAGAACCCATAGGCCTTGGGAAGCAAAGGAAGACCTATGCCTAAGGCACTTGGCCTTCCAGCTCAAGCGGCAAAGGCGTGGGCGAAAGCCGCAAGGCCTCCGTGCTGAGATCCTCCAGCACATCTGCAGCCTCCTAGGTCGGCTCCAGCCATTTGGGACTCTTACAAGTGGATTTTGCTTACGCCATACAAAACCCATTCTGATTTGGGTGGACATGAACCAATTGGCCATGGGTCAAAATCCCGTACCCCCAAACATCCCAATCCCCACTAAAATAGACGAACATGGGTGGTGCACCTACCGCAAAATGGTACCATTGGTTTTGACCCACGCCCAATTCACTTTCGGGTGTTTCGGTTTGCCCTGCGCTTCTTCCACTTGCGGGCCCCCCGCCTGCGCGCTGCTGGTGACGATTCGGAGATGCTGTGCGCTGGGCTTGGCGTAGGGGCAGAAGTTGTAACCTCCGGGTCCGAAATTGCGATGGCAAAGCCTCGCTGAATTTTGTTTTGGAGAGGTGGGCCTCCTTTGCGATTTCCCTCTAGAAACAGGGGCGCGAATTCCCGAACCAACAACTCCAACCCGTCAAACCAGGATTGCCTGACTCCGGGCGCAAGAGAAAACTTGACATCAAAACGTGCTGGGCTGCCCATGATCACGCGCTCCACCCACGTCCGCACCGCTTTCTCATGCTCGTCAGCGAGGCGTCCAACCCGTCGTCGACCGACAGCGGCAAAGCCTGACGCAGCAAAATGACAAAACTGGCACCCGAATCCCATCTTCAGGCCTGCTTGGGTCCAGTCCAAGAGTGAGTGTGAAGCTATGTGAAGCTAGTTGGCGGATCAAACTCTGGCAGCTACCTTTGCTTGGCTATTTTTGCAGCCGCTTCATCGTCTGCGCTTCCGACTGGAGGCTTCCGCAGGGCCGCATATGAATTGAATTACTACATCGGCGATGTCTTGCGCGCACTGCGCGAGATTGCGGGCATGCGAATCGTCGGTAAAAAAAAGGGGCAAGAGCTGCTCAGAGCTGCGATAGACCCGCAGCTGGTCATGTTTCAAGCAGTCGTGCCCGCTTGCAAGCTGGACGGCATGCTTGCGGCCTTTCTGCGTGCGCCCGGAGGCAGCCAAGCACAGAAAAGCACAGGGGTTGCCACAGCCGAAACTTCTGCCGAAATTTATGTTAGTCGCAGCATAGATGCCTTGGCCAAATGCTTTGCCATTCAACATGGTGACCGCGGTGCCATCAGCATTGCGCTCACCGGGGGCACGCAAATTATTCTCGATGATCTTGTTCACGTTCTCTTCCCGGGTCCAATGGAAAATGATCTCGATGTCCTCCGCCTCGCGGCCTGAGCTTAGCCTCTCAACGAATGCCAAGGCCACATCGAAGTTGCACACTTCCCGCGGCTGATTCATTCTGGGAAGCACTGCGCTTGCAGCTATGTCCTCGGAGCCCCACCAATCGTAAGGAGGATCCCAGCCAATGTGATGCTTCCCAGGCAGTGTGTGCAGTACGCGCCCGGCATACCAATGCCCATCCGACCATCTTGCTAGAACTTGGTCTCCTTGAGTGACACTGCTTCTGTTGCCGGGCAGCCCGGACCCGCCCTTCCGGGCCATTTCCACAATCCGGGCTGTTACATTCACCGCAGAAGTCGAGCTTTCAAATTCTGCATCCAGCAATTCCTGGTGGATGCGGTGCGCCGCCTGATGATCTTCCAAGTCTTGCAGAGCCATCAACGCGCCACAAACGCCACAGGCACTCTTGGCATCCTCACTTTTGGAGTGGCCGCGTGCGTGCGCCGCGAAGTTCCTGAAGGACACCAACTCTCCGCAAACATCACAAGGAATCTCCTGATCCGAGCTCGCGCGCTTCAACTGCGACTCGTGCGACTCGTGCGACTTGTGCGACTCGTGCAGGGACGCATGTGCCACAAACTCCTCGAAGGCCACTTGGGCGCCACAAACCTCGCAGGGCACCCGCTCCGACGCGAAGCTCTCCGCGATGATCACCACTTCCTCATCACGTCGCGGCCTCGCGTGCCTGACACGCATCGTGGGGACTTGGCTTGAGCCCAAGCCGGCGACTTGGAGAACGCACCCAGCCCAAGAGCAACGGTTCGTCGGCCCCCCCAAAAAAGACTTTGGCTTTTGAATGACACTTGATTCGCGTGTCTCAAGAAGTGACGCAAGCTGGCACCGTTTCAACAGTCGGGAGCCGAGGTGTCTGTGCCCCAAACTCGTGGCAAATGAGAATGTGGACCCTCTCATCTGCCCCCACATTGTGCCCCGTCCGCCCCTCACCCGCCTCCAACACCCACAGCGAGGAATGACGGAGAGGCGGCGCGCGAGTCGGGCTTTGGCACGGCCGGAGTGACCAAGCGCCAGGGTGTGCCAAGCGAGGGCTTCAGCGGCACAGCGAGCTGCATGGAGAAATCTGCTTGAAAATCGAGGGCTTTGCAAAATGCCGAATGCAACTTGAGTATGGCAGATCTCGCTATTGCGAGCAACCAGCTTGCTCAGGACCTTGTATCATGCGCCGGCTAGAGCCACAAAAGAAGCATGCCCAATACCGTCAGCCAGGCGGCATATTGACTCCCATGTCATTTCACCCTTCCTCCTCCTGCTTGACCTGAGCTCATTGCAAGTGAGTAGCCGGGCTGACGTGCTCCATGACCTGGTTGAGGTTTGGCACAGTTGCCAAACCTTCGCCTTGAGCCGCGCTCTCAATATAAAACCGCGGCGACGAACATAGCTTGCATGACTTCAGCTTTTGCTTTTCCCGTAACATGCAAACGTGAAACCCGCCCTAAGGCCCCACCCATGCCCTACGTCTTGGGGCGACACAGGTGCCGTGTGCCAGACGCGACAAAGCGAGCGAGCTGCCGTGGCGCCAGGTCAGTACCGCGCTGGCGATGCAAACATTTTGCTGAAAGGCACGGACGGCGATCTAGCGCCTTGAGAAGCGCAAAAGCCGAGGCAAAGCTTTGAGCCCTGCCGCCGGTCGTATCAGTTCTTTTTTTGCGTTTTTGTGGCCGTTGGCTTCTTTGTGGCCATGTTTCGGGAGCGCGCAAAGCAGCTTTCGGCCTTTTGTTCAGCAGGTTCCTGGCCAATGGCCGCGGCGGAACTTCAGTCCAGGGGATTTTCCTGAACTGACAGTGCGAATCCAGTCTCGAAAGACTTCCTATGGCCATCGGCCGTGGAGTGCAAGTCCATGAGTCCATGGGAGTCGGGGGGCTGTCTGCGGTCAGACAGCTGGCCGCTTCAAATGGAACAAGCTGGCGCTTTACGACCCCGGGGCTGCATACCATATCTTACAACCAACCCCTTGACACCACAAAAAGACATCGATGAACCTGCCCCAGGGCATGGCGGAACAGCCATCAGAAGGGCTTTGACGGCTTTGACTTGGTAGCCCTCATCAGGAGCTCGCCTTGCAGCCGAGTTCATGCCGAGTTCATTTCGCCAAAGGGCCCGCCTAGCAGTCGCACTCCGGCTGCTGCGACGAAGGCCGTGAGGGCGCTTGTCAACACACGTGTGCCAGGCTCCTGCTCAGATAAGAAGCAAAACACGCAGCAAGGTTGCACAAACACACACCTACACCTACCTACCTACCTACCTACCTACATACCATACCATACCATACCATTCCATACCACACCATACATACCTACATACATACCTACATGCATTAGATACATACATACATAAATAGATACATGCATGCATGCATGCATACACACATGCACACATTCACACATACATACATACATACATTACATTACATTACATACACACACACATACATACACATATACATGCATTGGGTACATGCATGCATGCATGCATACATACATACATACATACATACATTACATACATACATTACACACATACCATACCATACCACACCACACCACACCACACCACACCACACCATACATACCTACATGCATTACATACATACATACATACATACATACATACATACATACATACATACATACATACATACATACATACATACATACATACATACATACATACATACATACATACATACATACATACATACATACATACATACATACATACATACATACATACATACATACATACATACATACATACATACATACATACATACATACATACATACATACATACATACATACATACATACATACATACATACATACATACATACATACATACATACATACATACATACATACATACATACATACACACATACACACAGACATACATACGCACGTACGCACGTACGTACATACATACACATATACATACATTAGATGCATACATACATGCATTACATTACATTACATTACTTCACTGTACATTGCATTGCATTACATACATACATACCTACCATACATTACCATACCATACCATACCATTCCACAGCACACCATACCATATCATAAATACATACATGCCTTCGTGCATTACACATACATGCATGCATTAGATACATACATACATTACATCACATTACATTGATTGACATTACATTAATTTACATACATTACAAACATACATGCATACCTTCTCACAAACATACATACATACCCATGCATTACATACATACATTACATTACGTGACGTTACATTACATTACATTTCCTTATATGACATTACATTACTTTGCATACATGCAAACACACAAACATACAAACATGCACACATACGCAAATACATACATACATGCATTACATTACATTACATTAAATTTCCTTACATTACATTACATTACATTCATACATGTATACATTCATACAATACATACATACAGACAGACAGATAGACAAACAAACAACCATACACACATACATACATACAGACATAAAACCATACAGACATACATACATACCTACATGCATTACATACATACATGCATACGCACACATACATACACACACACATACATACATACATACATACATACATACATACATACATACATACATTGCATACATACATACATACATACATACATACATACATACATACATTACATACATTACATACATTACATACATTACATACATTACATACATTACATACATAACATACATAACATAACATAACATAACATAACATAACATACATTACATAACATAACATAACATAACATAACATACATTACATGCATTACATACATGACATTACATTACATTACATTACATTACATACATTACATTACATTACATTACATTACATTACATACATACACACATACATACACATATACATACATTAGGTACATACATACATACATACATACATACATACATACATTCATACTACATACATTACATTACATACATACACACATACATACATGCATGCATACATACATACAAAACATTACATACATACATTACATCAATACATTACATTACATTACATTACATTACACTACATTACATTACATTACATAACGTACATACATACATACATACATACACACAGTACATACACTACATATACATACATACATACATACATGCATACATAACATACATACATACATGCATACATTACATTACATACATGCATAGCATATCATACCATATACCATGCCATATACCATACCACATGCCATACCATATATCATATACCACATACCATACCCATACCATACCATATACCATGAGTACCACATATACCATACCACATATACCATAACATCTATCCATACCATATATAAATAGCCCATACGCAGACTGATCTCAACTTCTTCTCCTCATGGGGCTCTGTGAGGTTGGAGCCTACGCACGGCCAGTTGCAGCAGCGGATGCCACGTTCTCTCAAACTCCGAGGGGCCAAAGATCCGAGCATCTGCTGCTGCTGGCATGGCCAACACCAAACCCGCCACGTCGGGACGGATCGCCTCCTGCACATAATCAGCGCAGAATGACAATTTCTGCAGCCACGCCTGAGAAACGTTTGGCTCCTTGAGACCCGATGGAAGGAAAGAAGCAACCTCTACTCCAAGTGCTTAACGCAGCGACTGCAACTGCTCCTCCGGCAACATCTTCACCTCCAGATCTCCCCCACTGAACCCGCAAGCAAAATGGCAAACCAAGGCGGTCTCTTTTTTTGCGTGCTCTTTGGCAAAACGGCATGCCAGTAAGCGTGGCCTTACTGGAGTAACAAAGGCATGCTCCACTCTGTCGAGAGCCTTGTGTGGCATTCTTGTGATGCGCAGCTCCAAATGGCACATCTTCGCTGGAATGAAAGCTCCGGTGCTGCCCTTCCGCATGGAGCGCGAACCGACGCTCAACACCTGCCGACTGCGACACAAGTCTTGAGGAGTACAGGGCATCTGGCAATCTAGAACGACTTCTGACAGTCGTCGACCGACGTTGAGCCAAAAATCATGGCCATTGCCAAGAAAACAAATTCTGCTGCTCAGCAAGCTGGGAGCTGTACCAAGATGCCTGCCGGCAGCAAGAGAGCGACTCACAGGCTCAGCAGACCGGTGCGCCCTGAGAGCAGGTTGAAGTATGCTTCTGCCGTGATGAGCAAAAGCCGGGAGCCGCAAACACCATCCTTGGTCTCTGCGGTGTAGGCGCTGAAGTCGGGGTGGTACACCTTCTTCTCGGCCTCGCACTCCGTCGCCCTGACTTTGGCGAGTTCCAAGCATCGCCTGCCCAGCAAGCTCCAGGGGCCCTGGATGGACTCGTGGGCCTCCTGGCCCGCGAAGACCTTCACCTCCCCGGCGACGACCAGCACGGCGTGGTGGGCCGCCTCGTTGCGCCGGAAGAGTGCGGCGCCCTGGCTGTCCACCACCTCGCAGCGGTGCAGAAAGGACTCGAGCCTCTGCTGCTCCGTGGGGAAGAGCTCGGGGTAGCGCTGCCGCAGAAACGCGGCCGCCGCCACCACCTCGTCCCTGGAGAGGCCTCGCGCCACCTTGGCGTGCCGGGCCACGCAGGCCACGTAGCTCACGGCGGTGCTGTCCTCGTGGAAGCGCCGCACGTTGGAGAACATGCCGCTGGGCTCACTGCTCACCGCGGAGGCCACGTCGTCCGCGTCCACCTCGTGCACGTCCTCCTGGACGATGGTGTTCAGCAGGTCCTGCAGCGTGAGGATGCCCACGTGCCGGAAGTAGGGGTCGCAGTCCTCGTCGCTCACGATGCCCCGCACCACCGCCAGCTGGCTGGCGCCTCTGCGGAACTCCTCCAGCAGCTGCGGCAAGGGCCGGTCGTCGTCCACGATGAAGACCTGGCGCCCAATCAGCGGCAACAACGCCCTCAGCGACACCTCGTGGTCCACCTCCAGCAGCAGCAAGTCCTTCACGTGGATTAGGCCCACCACCTTAAACTGCTTCTTGGGGCTCAGCAGGTCTCGGTCGATCACGGGGATCCGGGAGTAGCCTGCTTTGGCCACTGCAGCAATCAGGCCTGGGTTGATCACAGCCTGCGCGTCCAAGCAAAAGCATTCCTCAGCTGCCGCTTAGGCACCACTTCACAAAAGATGATGACTCACCTTTCGAAGGCCACTAAAAATCTCGGACTGGACACCCACATGTCAATCAAGTGGACACTTCTCCAACCTTCACAAACCTCGGATCTTTCGAGTCTACCTTTCACTTCGTTTTCCATTTTCAACGCCTCTACCTTTCCATTTCCGACGCAACCTTTCCATTTTCGCTTCTCTCTGAGTGAATGCGAGTAAACTACCTTCCACTTCGCTTTCTTTGAGACTCCGTTTCGTTTCCATTTTCCATGTTCGCGAGTGTCCGTCATGGGCACCATGATGCTCTTGGCCGTCATCGTGGAGAAGTCCAGCGAGCCCCGCAGGATCTTGGCCTCCTGCTCCGAGAGCAAGTGGGGTGCCTGCTTCCGCTGGTACTCGATGAGCGTCATGAACTGCTGCCTGTTCAGCACCTGAAGGGGGAAGGCGCTGGCTTCGGAACCAACACAGGTGGCTCGTGTTTGTTTGAGGGAAATCGGAAACCCAGATCTTTTGTGACTTTGAAGGGGCACCAAAAGACAACACACCATTGCGAGGGTCCCTTCAAAAGCGACGCACCCACATGGGGGTTGATCAATCTTCCATTTCGGGCCCCCAGTTTTGACGGCTCCCCAGCATCCATGTGGTTGAACTCTCTTTGGCTTTCCAGCTTCCAGCTTCCCTCATCCCTTCATGGCGATGGATCGATCGATCTCGATCCGCCTGCCCGATCTCCTCCCCGAAGATTCGGTCCAGCACCAAGGCCAGCGGCTTGGAGATCGGCAGCAGCAGGTACCAGAAGAAGGTGACCAAGGGCACCGACGCCGCGCCGATGCGCAGGCCGTGCTTGTAGCACACCTCAACGAATTGATGGGCCGCAACTGAAAAAATATGTTTCCCGACTTTTTGGCGGCTACCGAAAACTGGCTTTGTGCTCGTTTCTGGCAGCCCACCAACATGAACAGAACCATAAACACCCCAAAAAAAAACAAAACACAAAAGCACCCCCGAAAAAAAAAAAAAAAAAAAAGAAAAAAAGCCCGATGCAGCGAAGACACGGACTGGGGGATGATCTCCCCAAAGGTCACCAGGATCAGCGTGCTGGCCACGAAGGCCGCGGTGCCCGACCAGAGCCTCACGCATGGGGCCTGTGGGGCCTGGAACCGGAAGCTGAGACCAGACCTCTTGGGGAGCTCTTGACGAAAAAAGATCGGGGACATATTTTCGTCAAGGAAGAAAACCACCTGGAAAAAACCACCTGGAACATCTAAAGCCACACCGGGAGAAAAACAAGGAGACAAAAGGTGGGACATTCTCATTTATTCGACTCACACCCGAATTCGCTCCGAGCAGCTCTCCCAGCAGAATGGCGAAGTAGGAGTTCACCATGACATTCCCCAACAGAACGGTGCACAAGAGCAAGTTCCCATCCTTCCGGATGGGAAGAATCCTTCTGGCCCAAGCCGCTTGCTGCTTCGTCTCCTTGTCCGCATCTTCTCTTTGCGCAGCCTTGAGAGTTCACCGGACTATGAGAGACCCAAACTTGAGAATTCCTCTGACTAGTTTCACTGTGAAAGGGCTTCCAACAAGTTTCTTATTTAGGGGCGTCCCTGGAAAGTCGCCTTTTCCACCGCGGCCTTGTCTAGAAGCATGAGCTGGTTGGCATCAAGGCACATCAGCCCCAAGTTCAGTCCCGAGAACACCGCGGACAGCGCCGCCAACACAAACATGCAAGAAATCTTGATGGCCAGGACATGGTCTTCGTCGGTCGCCAAACGCCTCCAACGGCTGTCCATGAGCGCGCCCGCCTTTGACTTTTTTCGGATGAGTTGCGTGGAAAGAGCTGTGAGCTGTGAAGAGATGCGAGATGCTGTCCCGATGCAACCGGACCTTTGCAAGAGTTCTGAGGCGAATGGCGTCGACATGAGACTCAAGCGGGTCCGTCGAATTGCATCCCGTCTGGGTGTTTGGCAGGCACGAAGCAGGGCGCCAGTGCCAGGGCACCTGACAGTCATCCATGCCAATTGGAGTTTGAACAGCTTGCAGGCAAGCGGCAAATCAAAATCAGCGGGCTCCTGCACCCCCGCCCCCGAAGCTCCGTGCTCAGATGCCCCAAGCTGTCCTCATGGCTCCTATTCGAACCCTTGACACCCCTGACCCGGTGTGCGCTCAATGGCTGCGTTGGATCCGATGCGCCAAGCAAGAGACGCTTCACAGTTGCCTCACAAACTGACATTCAGCTGGAGCACTACGCACCTTCTTTGCTCTTGCCGTTCGGCAGAGGCATGTGACTTCGCTTGATTTCCACCAAGGAAACATCGGGCCTCGACGGCCCGCCCTTCTGGCACTAGCCCGTGTGGCATATACATGCTACCCTGGAAAACAACAAGACGGATATCGCCTTTTGGTACAAAGGCGGATATCGTCTGTCTCGTCTTTTCAGGTGAGACTGAATTCTACGCGCGTTTTCGACGTCCTCCGAGTCTAGGAAAAAGGCCGAGGTGCAAGCATTGCTTGCGAGCTATATCCCGAGCGGCCTGGGACCGCCAGGCGGCTCATCCAAGCCTCAAATGCCACGCTGCTCTTGACGCTCTTGATGCTAAGACAAAGGAAGGCACTGCGCAGCCGCTGGTGTGGTGGAGGTGCAGGTAGCTGGCCCGAGTCGTTCAGCACCTTGAGAAGTTGACTCAGGTGCGGTTTGGTTTTCGATTCGCCTTGCCAACGAAAGCCATCTGCTTTTAACCTGCTCAATTCCCGGGTCTGCAAAGGACACGCTCTTACCATCTTCTATCTTGCTCCAACCACTTCATTGTGGGGCCCAACGAAGAGAACCAGCACTGCCAATACTTGCCGGATGGCAGCTCACCTCCCCGTTCGCCCGTTCTGTACATTTCGGCCCGCCTCCAGCTCCACCGGCTGAGCCCGTGGAAGACTCGGACCTGAGACGAGTCGGGAGCCTCCGGCGCAAAACCGAGGCTAAGCGCGCCTGGAGATGTCACAGACTCGAAGCACTTCTTTTGGATCCGCTGTGGCAACTCCTCGCGACAGCCAAAGCTTCACCCCTGAAACTCACAGGTTTGCCAGAATGCGACCGCATCCAACTCACTCTTGATCAATCGTGCAGGGCAGGCGGCTTCCGACGTCTCGGACTTGGCGGACTTGGGGCTGGCGGGGCTGTCGGGGCTGTTGACCTCCGTGC